AAAAAAAAAAAAAAACACTGATCATTCTCTGTTAAAGCTGTTGTCATTGTTTATCCCGTCCCTTCCGACAGGACTTTCACAGTTCACAAAGCTGGCAAACTTTACTACTTATTTAATATATTGGTCTTTTACAAAAACCAAGTATTTGGGGCAATCTGAGGGTTAGAAATTATTTTCAGTCTGGGGAGTCACAGAATTCTCTGGATTTGAAAGTGAGCTGAGCTTTAAAAGTTGGCTAGACTGAAGGGACTGGAGTGGGAGAACCACAAGAACAAAGGCAAACAGCCAGTGAATGGGAGGCAGGAGCAACAGGAACAGTGAGTTCAACTAGGCAACTGGGGAAGTGCATTATAGGCATGAAGATCTGAATAGACACCCAGACCAGAGAGTGGAGTATTTATTCCACTGGCATTTTCTGGACATGACAAAAACAAGATCCAGTGTTACTGGAGGATTAATCTGACAGGTTGTGTGGACTGAAGGAGTGAAAAAGAGAGTGAAGGTCAGTACAGTGATTCCCATCCTACATCCTATATTCCTTCCATGGGCCCCATGATTTGAATCTTTTACCTAATCAAACTGCCTTTAAGTGGTGATTAATTTGATTTCTTTTCATCAAAGACACACATAAAACTGGTAATCTGAGCTTCTGACCATGCTAAGAATATCGGCGTTACTGCTGTGAGTATGACATAAATACAGCCCAAAGCGGGCACACACACGCACAAGGGAGTCTATTTAGCCTGAGCAGCCCAGTAGCATTTGACTTAGGGGACTTTTAATGCTGACTTAAGTTCTCTGGACTCTTATCACGTGAACCTTCTTGAGTCTTTGCCCTTGGGGTTGCCATTGGTCTAGATAAGAGGCAAGTTCTGACAAGGACAGTAAGGGGGAAAGGAAGGATTGCAAGGAAAGATAACAGAATTGAAATGACTTCATCCTTGATTAGCCATGAGTAGTGACAGTTGGGAAGGAAACGCCAATAGCAATGACTGGGAAAATGATGCTGATAAAAAAATAATACTTCCATCCTCTACTTATCAGACAAGACTCCATGGAGGGCACTAAGTGTGTACATACTATGTGCCTGGCACTGTTGTTAATCAATTTTCATGAATTAATTGGTTTAATTCTCTCAACAACCCTAGGAAATACAATTACTACTTTATCCTCATTTACAGAAGGGGGAACTGAAGCACAGAGAGGTCAAGTAGTAGGCCCAAGATCACCCAGCTGGTAAGTATTGGAGCCAGGATGCAGACCCATGAGGCCTGATTCCAGATCTGGCCCCCTAAACCCTCTATAATAAGGAACAGAGGAGGAAATCATTTAGAGGATGAGATGGCAGGTTCCCTTTGGGTATCTTGAACTGACGCATTTGAAGGAGTGCCAGGTAAAGATATATAGCAGGCATATCATTAATCTCATCTGATGATCAGACATTCCTCCAAGTAGGCAGGACCTGTTATTGGCCTCCAGGGCTCAAGGACTAAGTGGCTGACCATTGTTATGAAGGTGCTCATATGATTCCTAATCTTGTGTTTTCCCCATGAGCCAGGTGATTGCATTCATCTTTCTAAACTTTTAACCTCATATTTGAACTAGGAAAAATCAGAAATCCTAGTATCCTATGACTCTCCTTTATTGCTCTTTATCAGAGAGCAAAGCTATAGGCAGGATTTGGGCTTGATTTTAGGAGCAAGTCCTGCTGGGACCATGTTTGTTTATACAGGGAGGTATTATGGTGGCTTTCCACAAAAGCAATAAGTGTTTCTCAGGGGTTCATCTGAGCCGGGACTCTTGGAGGATATAGAAAGAGTAGAAGATATGTTCTCTGTACTACAGAAATTTATTCTTCTGTTTGGGATGATAACGTTGACAGTTATAAGAGCAAACAAAATGACACAGTTAATAATTAGTATTCATGCATCATGTGGCTCAAATTAAGTATTGCGGGCATTGGGTTTGGGACATGCCAGTCATGTCAGAACTATAACATAACCTCTCTTGCTGATCACCTATAGACATCATTGTATTTGCTAGTAAGCCCAGTATCTTTTGTAAAATTGTCACCAATATTGATTATATTTTACTATCTTCTTCAATTGTTAGACATTGCATCTGTGGCTTTAAAGCCCCCTGAAATAATAATGCTTCTGTACCTAGCAAGTGTCAGAGCTAGGAGTTGAACCTAGTGGTCTACCTGTGGAACCGAGGGTGTGAACGGGTCGGGTCTGTTGCCTCTCATGGCCAAGGTTGGGTCTTTTATACTGATTATGGATAGGAACATTCTCTGCCAGATGATGAGGGATCCTTTGGTTCCAAGTGAGTGGTATAGGTTGACTGTTTGAGCAATGAGCTCCCCGTCTGTGAAAATCACCATCCAGCCATAGTCTAATCATCTCATTAGGTCACCCACACATTCATCACTTTTGAATGAATATCAGGTATCAATCAGAAGGCTCATTGTAGGGAAAGCACAAGCTAATGAAATATTCCTTGTTCTGGGAGCCTGCTCTAATAGGAAAAAGAGAGGCAAATATGCAGTTTACATGGTTAACCAGAGCTAGCAAATCTGGGCAAAGCTGGGAAAAATTAGGATATGAGATGATAGTTAGGTAAAGTTAAAAGTACATATGTAAGTCATAGTGAACCCATAAAGACTTTAAGGGCTGGTTTTCAGTGAGATTCCAGTTTAAAAGAATGAAGATATCGAAAGAGAAAAGAATGTTTTTTGTTTTTATGACCGGTGTCAGTAATACTACAGTCGACTCTTGAATAACATAGGTTTGAACTGCATGGGTCCACTTAATGTGGATTTTTTTCCAACCACATGTGGATGGAAAATACAGTATTCATCTGGGGATGGTGGCCTGTGCCACCAGGAAGATTGCTTCAGGCCACTAGTTTGAGACCATCCTGAGCAACATAGCAAAACTTTAAAAAGAAATGAAAAAAATTAGCAAGGTGTAGTGGTATGTGCCTGTAGTCTCAGCTATCTGAAGGCTGAAGCAAGAGAATCTCTAAACCCAGGAGGTCAAGGCTGCAGTGAGCTATGATCATGCCACTGCTCTCCAGCTTGGGCAGGAGTGAGATGCATCCTCCCATGCCCCCACCCCCATCTAAAAAAAAACAAAAACAAAAACTTCAGTATTTGAGATGCAAAACCCACGTGGAATGGGGCCACTGTGAGTCCTGAGTATGCATTCTGGTATATGCAGAGGGGGAGATTTGGGGGATGAGTAGCATGGGGTGGCAGAGTACCCTGGAACCCATCCCCTGTACTTACTGGAGGACGACTGTAATTCTTTTTATATTTGACTTACTTGAGTTAAGTTCAAGCTCTTTCTTGAGTCTGCTGTTGTTGCCCCTACCCTTTGAGGATTACCTCCATTCTCTAGATAGATAAAACAGGAGGCCTTGTATATAGTATTTGCCCAGGTCTACCCTCTCCTATCTTATAGTTTTCTCCCCATTAGAACTAAAGTCTGAAATTTTACTTTTTTTTTTTGCTTGCTCTGTTTGTGTACTCATAGTCACATTTTACAGTTCTAAACTAGAAATGGACTTTGCCCAGGAGTTTTAATCATTAATTGACATTCCTTGAAGAAAGAGAGAAATGATGTTTTATGTTTTCCAGACTTTCCAGCAGCTCAATGGCCTCCCCGAAGAAGAAACTTCAGGGTCTTGTTGCTGCTACCATCACGCCAATGACTGAGAATGGGTAACTATCCTTTGGAGCCGTAAAGGGATCTGTTCTCATTCAAACACAAAGGACAGAAGTTCTCTGTAGTGACAATCACTTAGGACTCTGCTCCTCTGTGGTACAATTGCCGAATGGTTTTGTCGGTCATCCCTCTGAACTGGGTCTGACCCTGCTAAGTCAGAGAAGGGACTATTTCCCTGACCCCCAAGTCAGAGAAGTACTATGTCACAGTGCAGAAAGGGAAGAAGTGACACCTGGTAGCTTGCCTTCCTACCAGTGTCTGTAGCTCCTCAAAGGAAATTCATCACAGCCCTGCTTTCCCAGATGTGGCCGGCAGAGGTTGGATGGGGAGAATCCCCTTTTAGAGAATCCCATTTGACATCAAGCACTGCCCTGGTCCCTCTCGGGATCCTGTCTTTAGATGTCTGCATGATTCCACCCCAGCCCATTCATGGACTTGATGAAAATGTCCTACCCCGAGGAAAGTGAGAGGGTATCTGCAAGCTGGACCCTTTGTTGGTGTTTACAGCCTCATTTCCAACATTGATCATTGTGTTGAGTATTGGGAAGGGAAGTAACAACAAATGATTGTTGAGTAATCGTTACCTAAGCAAGTATTTTGACTTCAGATGAATACTACAGCAGTCCCTCTGCTGGCACTGTCAGATTACGGTCATAAGCCATAGCTGGCCACACACTGTGTATAACCTCTCCTTGAACGTTGCTACTAACAAAAAGGGGATATAGCCCTCTTGGATGAAAATGTTTTGACCTGTCAGAGGAGTTAGACTGCCAAAACAGAATGCTGGCTTCTTTAAGCTTTTCCTTTTCCCCTCTGTAAAATATATTAATAGGCATACCTACATCATGAACTATGAGCATTAAATGAGATAATCCATACAACAGTGCTTAGCACAGGGTCAGTATACACTTAGGTTTGAGCTGCTATTATGGCCTAAGGCAGGGAAAAATGGAAGATCAATATGTAAGATACCTTTTTAACAGGCCTCTTTTTTTGGCCTTCTCTTGCTAAATTTGTAAGCCTTAACCCACTTAAAGTAGAAGAAGTTTCTTGATTTTTAGTATTCTCATTCCGATTTGGCCATATCACAAGTCTTCCTTAAATCATTTGAGTTCAAGACTCCCAGCTTCTAAGATTCATGAAAAATCACATCCTTACTAGGCCTAAATAAGACTTGCTGAGATGGCGTTTAGATTGTTCAGCTGGTTAATTTTTTTTTTCCTGTTACTTCTCTTTCCACAAGTGCTAAGAAAGGCCAAAATCAGCTGTTTCTCAATGTGTCAGCACTCGCTGGGGAGATAAAACAGAAGCCATGTGACTACATGAGTAGGCAGGATTTACTTCCTGTCGCAGAGGGAGATGCTGTCTCTCAGCACAAAACACCACATCTGGCCCATGTCACTCTAACCTTTTAGGAAGATCCCTCTTAGCCTGGAAATGCCTTCTTAAACTCCTATTCGTTCACCTAGAACCCACTGAGAGTGCCAGAGTATTCTTCTGCCCTGTTTTTTCGTTTTCCTGGAAGGCCCCATGTATTAGAAATTAACTGAATCTGCTTTTCTGGATCTTGTTCCATTTCCCAAATACTTCTGGCCCTGCTGCTTCCATTTCACTGTTTTCTCTTTTTTCATTAATTCCTTTTTCTGTTTTTTTCATCAATTCCCTTTTCCCTTCTAGGAGCCTCACATTTCCTGAAGTATAAAATCAAAATAAGAATGTATTCTTTGTAGAGGCCTTGTAAGAATTAAATTATTGGTAGATTAAATTAAATAGTGCACTTCAGTGTATAGTGGGTGTGGGAGCAATGTTAGTAGCCCTTTCTCCCACCACCTGCTCCATCAAACATCCCTATAGGTACAAGCAGTTTTGAAAGACCACCAAGAGCAGATAGGCATCAACCTACTTGCCCATAAGGAAATCTGCACTTCTGTGATGTTTCTAAGAGACAAGGTGGAAGGAAGGGGCACACGGAACCTAATACCTGGAAATACAGCCCTATGACCTACCATGGTGGGGGTTTTCCTAACCTGGCTTGTACATTATACTTCAGCTACCATCATTCTGAATAGCTAAACTGTTCCCCTGCATCATTTTTTTTTTGTCTTAACTGCAATGAATACTTACTAATAATTTATCTCTCTGAATATAAGTTGATGTCCGGGACCAGGGACGTTGGCAGAATAGATCTTAGTTGGTTAATTAAAGTATCTGGGTCCTTGACCCCTAGTTTTGCTGTCTGATCCTGGGGCGGTCTTGTCACCTTTTAAGAGTACTCTTTCACATTATATAAAGAGAGTTCATCTATATTGTCTCCAAGACCCCTTCCAACTGCAGTCTACAGTCCTCTAGTGTATGTCATTATGGCTACTACGGTGATCACCATTAAATAAGTATGTATAGAGTAGCTCTAGTAACTCTAGAGGAGTAACTTTAGTCCATCATCCATGCTATAGCCCAGCGACCTTCCTGGTAAATAAACCTGATCATGCCACTCTCCTCTTTGGAAATCTCTGTTGAATCCCTCTTATTCAGACCTTGCTACTCATTGTGTGGCCTGCGGATCAGTTGCTCCAACATTACACGGGAAGTTGGTAGCAATGCAGTCTCTCAGGCCCTACCCTTTACCACTAAATCTGATCTTGCATTTTACAGTGTCCCCAGATGACTCTTTAGCACATCGAAGTCTAACATGAACTGGTCTAAAAAACAAGCCCAGACTCCCTGGGATGGCCTAGGAAGGCCTTAACAATCTACCTTTCCTGCTTCACTTCGATTTCCCCAAACACATCATACTCCTTCTTCCCTCTGTGTCTTTATGCACTGTTTCCTCTGCCCTTTTCTTCCAGCATCCTCTTCTTTCTTGAGTCAAACACTTACACTGATGCATCAAAACCATCCTCTGATAATTGCTCCCCATTTCTCATCAAAAGAGTTAGAGGATCCTTCCTATGAAATCTATCAACAGCCTTTATGCATTGCACCCAAATTATTTGTTGGTAATTACTATAAAAACATTTTGTTACTTTCCTACCTCTTTCTTTGAGCTGCTTAGCCTTATTCAACAGGTATTTACTGAATACCAGGCAATAAACAAGAATGAACATGTATTTTATTTATCTTTGTATCTTCTGCATCTAGCACAGTTGCGATAAATTTTGTTATTTCGTAAATGAATTTATGAAAGGCATGACTGGTGCTGGAAAGGAAACTCATACTGACTAAATGCTGTCTTTCACCAGCCTGGGCATTTTCATTTACATTTTCCAACTTATTCTTGATAACAGCTCTATAAGAGAGCGTTATAACTACTCTTGAAGCTGAAGAAATTAAGATCCTAAAAGCTAGCACACTGGCCCTAAGCCACAGAGTTAGAAAGGGAGATCTTTCTCTACCTATCACTCAGCTTTTTTTTTTTGCATTAGAATTAAAGACTTTTGATTTCTTTAGTTATTCAAAGAAGGAGCTTTTTTCTTTAGAAAAAAATTAGTGCACAGTCATTAGAATAGAAAAACCATTTCTGATTGGCCAAAAATGTCAAGAAAATGGTTCCCCTCCTCCATGTCCTTGGCTTCCCCATAGGAATCTTCACAACATCTTCTGGTAAAAACAAACTTGTTTCTCCAGTGAGAAAAGGCCTGGCCTGCTACATTTAGAGCAGCATAAATTATTGTCTTTCTAACAGTGTTTGGGAGACAAGTGACCCAAACTTCCAGAACAGAACATTTTCTACCTCCGGCAGGGTGGGAAGTTTAGTGCCAGCCTGCTTCTCTGCTGAAGGAGTTTTGAAGTAACTAAGTGGTTATTGTGCCAAAAGCATGTATAACTTCTATCTGATTTTTGAATGCTGATAGTTATGTTTAAAAGGCAAAAGAAAATGGAAAGTCAGAGTTTCTGATAGACGTGCCACATCATGCCAGTTGTGAAAAGAGCCTGCCCTGTGCTGTGGATTCTGTCTTCTCAAGTAAGGTGAAAATCTTTCATGGTATGTCATACACCAGGAGAGAGAACAGACAGTAGTAGGGATTTCTCTCTTTAAAAAAATTCTATTTGGGAAAAATTCTATTATCCTTAGGTCCTAAGAGAAGAGTTATAACATTTACATGAAGTTTCATAATTCACCCCCACTAGACCTCAAGTTGTGGTCCAGATAACATGAGTTTCTTCCTATAATACAGTTCGGATAAACTAAATGTACAAATAAAAGATTAGGTAAATTCATAATGTTCATCTATGAAATGGAATTTGTAGGTAGTATAGTAATGGACTATCTAAAAATGTGGGGAAATGTTTAATTCATAATGCTAAGTGAAAAAATATAATGGGGCTCGGCGCCTACGGCTCAACCGGCTAAGGCGCCAGCCACGTACACCTAAGGTGGCGGGTTCGAATCCCCAGCCCGGACCCGCCAAACAACAATGACGGCTGCAACCAAAAAATAGCCGGGCGTTGTGGCGGGCGCCTGTGGTCCCAGCTACTTGGGAGGCGGAGGCAAAAGACTGGCTTGAGCCCAGGAGTTGGAGGTTGCTGTGAGCTGTAATGCCACGGCACTCTACCCAGGGGGACAGCTTGAGGCTCTGTCTCAAAAAAAAAAAAAAAAAAATATATATATATATATAATGGGCAAATATACAAGAAAATAATATACTATGTATATGTAAATAGAGAAATATCAAACTATAAGAGGAATCATCACCAAAGAGATCCTCAGGGGGGTTTGTTTTCTTTTTTATTTTTTATACTTTCTAAAATAAATTTTGTAGCTTCTATAATAGAAAAAAGTTAAAAAAAAAAAAGTCCTGGGCCATGGTGGTGTGTGCCTGTAGGCTTAATCTTAGCTACTTAAGAAGCTGAGGTGTGAGGATCCCTTGAGAGCAGGATGGGCAGCATAGCAAAACCTTGTATCTTAAAAAAAACACACACACACACACACACAGGAAAAATCATAGACCCAAGGCAAGGAATCTGAACCCAGGGAATTGAAATTAAAACATTAAACTGGGGTTAAGTGTGAGAATAACTGCAAAAAGCATGGAATTTGGTTCTGGGCCACTATCCCTTGAAGCAGTCCAGTGGTTAGATGTGTTCTGGGGCCCACAGATGAAGAGCAGATCAGTGCAGCCTCCTCAAGTGAACTAGCATATGTCACATCTCACTTCTGCGAGCACCAAGTTCCAAACACCCAGTGGTGGAGAGAACAATCCAGTCTCACCATTTCCATTCTCTCTAGTGACTTCCCAATATTTGATGAAAATGGACCTAGGTACCAGGAGCAGGTGGAGTAGAGTGGGAAACCAGGGAAGCGAGCACAGTCCCCAAGGAGAATTATTAGCAGGTTGCCGCCTAAACCTGCCATTTGGGGCCCCTGTATAACAAATATGGTAGCAGCTCTGAATGCTCCCATGGGGCCCACTCATGCCTGGAGCTGCCCAGCATCTTGGTCTAGGACTGCAAAGTCAGGCAGGAATCTGACATGCCCACAGTACCTGCCGACCAATGGGCCTCTAAAAGGGGTGGCCATTGCTCTTGCTAGCATTGTCACATATTCTGGCTTTTCAAATAAAGTCTGTCTTTTTTTTTTTTTTTAACAAGAAAGTATTTGATATTGCGAAAGTCAAATAAATACATTTGGAGGTAACCCCTTTTCAAACGGTGATCTCCCCAGGGAGATTTGGTACTTCCCAAACACCTTAAATCTAAGGATGGTTTCTGGGTGACGCTGCCCCTGCTTAGGTAGTGTCATTTCTGTAGGTTAGGGGCGTTTTGTAAGAAGCAGCAAACTACTTTCTCCTTTCTTGTAGGAACTGATAATGCATCACTCATTAGCACTCCTAACCTGAGTGAGATTGTCAGATGAGTAGCTTCTCCCTCACCCAGCAAGGCCTGAGGGAATGTGACAGGGGTGGGGCTGAGTGCAGGTGGAAGCACCACCCCCTGAGGCCTTGAAACAGTATAAAGTTCACTGCGGAAAGAAGGAGCCTCGATCTAAGTGTCCAGCCACCTGTCTTGAAAGATGAGAATAGCATCCCTCAGGAATGTTGGAGAGAAGGAAGATGATAAGGTTTTGTCCTGTTTCTTCTTCCAGATCCAGTTCCTTTGACATCTGCTTTCCACCCTCCCTAACTGTAATTTGTCAGTCCCTATTCTAAAACCCCATACACTTAATTTTTGACTCAGTCATAGCTTCACTGTATTTTCCCTTCTATCTTCATTATATACACCATTTCCTCTATTTGATTAATGTAATAGTGAAGGCTAGGTGCAGTGGCTCACATCTGTAATTCTAGCATTCTGGGAGGCTGAGGCAGGATTGCCTGAGGTCAGGATTTCTGACCAGTCTGAACAAGAGCAAGACACTATCTCTACAAAAATTAGAAATATTAGCCAGGCAGAGTGGCCTGCACCTGTAGTCCCAGCTACTCTGGAGGCTGAGACAGGAAAAATTCTCAAGCCTAGGAGTTTGAGGTTTACAGTGAGCTATGACGACACCACTGTACTTTAGCGAGGGTAATAGAGTGAGACTGTCTCAAAAAAAGAAAAAGTAATAGTGAAATTTCAAAATATCTTGCAAGTGTGGTGCCAAGCTGTTTGTAATGGCGGAAGTTATGATGATTTTGTGATCATGTAAATTGTCACATCTCCACCCCTTCACCCAGCCTTTGCTGAGCACTTGCGGTATGCCAGGCACAGACCGAGACCGGAAGGGAAGTGTTAGGATATGAGGGCATGAGCCATAATGGAGGGAGCATTAAATCACACAGTGGCAGGCTCAGGTCCTCACTGTCTTTCCTTTGAGCAAGCTCTGCGCTGTGATTGCCTGTGCATTCTTTGTGTTTAGTGTCTTTCCTTTTAACCCCGGTCAGCTGTTTTCTATTCCATCTCTTTTTATTTCTAGCCTTTTTTTTTTTTTT